CAGCTCAAACAATGACACCACATTTATTCATAACTGCAATGCAACTACGTCCAAGAAAGAAAATAATAAATCCAAAAACATCGAACAGTATACCATCCACGTCTCTGCCACCGATCAGTAAGGTATCCACAGCAACACCATCAACTGATTTTGATATTACAAAATTAAAAATGGAACAACAACAGGATACAGTCATCCTCGATAAAACCAAAGAAATCAAGCAAGATCCAACCACATTGTCGTATGAGGTAGTCGATGGTCTTTTATACAAGATTGCGTCCAGAAAGGGTGCCAAGAACATCAAATTACCATATCTACCACAATCAATGATTCTAAACGTCATGGCTGCTTATCATGATCATCCAACAAGTGGGCATTTTGGCATAAGACGGACATGGCATAAATTAAGAGACCGATATTTCTGGCCCAATATGATGTCAACAATCGAAAATTATATTAAGTCATGTGAAAAATGTGCCAAATTTAACATCCGAAGAACTAAAGCATCAGGTAAATTACACCCTGTCACACCACCCGAGGGTATATTCGAAACAATTTGAATGGATTTTTGGGGTCCAACATCCCATCCATCGGCTGAACGAAACAGGTATGTGTTGGTAGTAACGGCTTATTTATCAAAACATGTCATAGCCAAAGCCATGCCAAACAACACAGCAGCAACAACAGCACAATTCATCGTCGAAGATGTTATCTTGAAATATGGTGTGCACAGAAAATTAATTACAGATCAAGGATCACACTATAAGAACGAATTGATGGGCAGCATTACTCGGCTTTGTGGACGCAAACGCGTCTTTGCAACAACATACCATCCCCAAACAAACGGACAGGTTGAACGTTTCAATGCAACCTTTTACCCGCAATTGGCAAAATTACATGATGAAAATGTTAATGATTGGGATGCACACTTAACCGCATGTGTATTTGCCTACAACACCGGAGTTCATGCGACAACTGGGTACTCACCATTTCAATTGATGTTTGCCCGTCACTCCCTAAGTTAAAGGTCATTCTGTTTTAACTGTTTCATCATGTATTTCGTTTATCTCTTTTCGTTCCCTTTTTATGTGTCATCATACATATGATCTCTGTCTCTTTGTCCATTTAATCATATATATGATCTCTTTCTTTTTTGTCTATTTCGTCATACATATGATCTCGTTCGATTTTTGCGATATCATATGGTAGTTATCTATTTCATCAGACCAATGGTCTTGTACGCTGTTCTAGGTAATATTTCATCATTCATAGGATTTCAATCTCTTTTCATTACGTCATAGGTTTCCAGATAATCTTAGCTTGGTGTAATTTACAGTTGCACCATTTTGTTCATTTTAAATCTTTGATTTTTGCTATAAATAACGATATATTTTAGTAGCTTCGATAGGTTTTTGTTGAATACAAATAAAGTTTTATTTGCTCGATCAACTTAGACTTTTCAATTGGTGAAAGGGATTTTCACCTGATGACAGCGCCCGACCTAACAACTGGTGACAGCGGTAACTATTGTGAAAGTTATATCATCACAATAGGCGAACTCCTCGTTTAGTATATTTTTTTTTATTTTTTTTAGATTTTGCGCCCGATTTATTACTATATAAATTATCAAAAATAATTATAGCTATTGCATAAAATTATGTTTTTAATTAACTAGTCAAATTTTACAGAAAAGTCGTTTTTTGTAATAAAAAAACTTTAGTATAACATTGAAGAGCGTTTAAAAAACTGCACGTATTTGTTGTGGCTTAATTAAAATTAACTAGTAATTTTATGTCGTATAAATCGATTTACTTTTTCTGCGCACTGATGGAATCTCGAGTATGACTCATTCTCCTCAGTTTATTTTCAGCATTTAACTCTAGTATAAATTTCTTCGAACATAATAAGTTTGTAGAGAAAACACTTCTCTGCAAGATGAGTTATTTCACGTTTAAAAGTAATTGACGGCTGATGGGGTTCACATCATTTTATTGAGTGGCTTCTGCACAACATAAAATAATCGTTTTCGCGCGTCATGACCAAAATGCACTTCTGTCATTTTCATTTTTACAGTCATCTTTCTCCACGCGAAGAAAACTACCCATTTCCCCCCTTGATTTTTGGAAATGTACGCTCTGTAGATATTTACATACGCAGTTTGAAAGTTCAGTCGAGTATTCAGATATTTGCATTTCGCAGGACCCACATTGCGCCAAGAACTCTTTTCGAGTGAAAGTCGATATGAGATGTTGTTTGGTTACTCACTTTCACACTACTGCCAGCTCCCTCCGTCGAAGGTGGTTGATGGCACATAAAAATGATGTTTTAGAAGTATTGAATAATAAGCGGAAAGCACACTTATTAGACGTTAGAGATGCTGCTGAATGGCAAGGTTTAACTAGTTCGCCTTATGGAATTGACTTTTGTCCAAGAAAAGGACGAATACCAATTCAATATGGATTGAATGGTATAGGGCGTCACCCATCAACGATGTTCAGTAAGGAATAGGGGCACTGGACACGGGGATAATAAATTCCATACGTCTGGAAAACTTTTGTAAAAATGTATTTTTTACGCATTTTAGTTAATCTTTTTGTAAATTCGTTATGCATCAAGGGTATCTTTTGTTATTTTTTATTACTCGACTCCTTAATGTTTTTAGGAAATAATTAACCTTTTATCTGACGTCCGACTGATTAGTATCAATGAACAAAAGGAACCAAACGATGTTTAGTTGATGTCGGCGTTGAACTAAATTACAGCTGCTTGTTTTTCACTTCGACTATTGTCTATTAAGGAATAAAAGTCGATTTCGGGAATGAGGAAATCTAAGCTTATGAACAATGTTTTAAAACTATAAACTCATAAATAGACAAAAGTAAATTTTCAATGTAACAAAATCGTTAATTTATCCTTGCCATTGTTTAGGTTATAGTTTTAAAAAGTTCTCAAGAATTGTTATTTACACATTGATTGCTGATTTGTAGTCGCAGTTCTGACTTTTCAAAACAGTCATTTTAGTTAGCCTTTAAAACGAAGTTCTTCATAATCTGGTTGAACCCAATGATAATTCATTTTCAGCAATTGTCTATCGAAAGACGATATATTTAGATCTAATGGCAAAATACTTATCATTCGCTCCCATGCATTACAAAGTATCAGCCATTAGTAACATAATTTTTCGAACATCTGTTTGTAAAAAAGAATCTGACCCCCCTTCTAGTACAGAAACATTTGGATGATGCATCCATTTTGGTAGAAAAAATCCACGACAGCTTGACCCATAATTTTTATTCATATCCTGCTCATAACCAACATCCTGTTCATCCAAACTACCGGTTAGCCCTACTTCATCAAGTCGCTGATGAAAATGATTTCTCATATTTTCAATATCTTTTGGTTCAGATGATTTTAATAAATATGTAAATATATCATGAACATTAACAGAATTACGAATATGAGATGTTTCATATGGTTTTAGATTTCTAGTATCTAATAATATTACATTACTATATAAATATAAGCTTTCAGTTTTTATAAACCGTGGAACTTCATCTGGTTTGGATCAATCATTCATACTGGAATAATCTAAAATGTATGGAAGAAAAATGATAGTATTTCAACAGCTTTTGCATTTAGAAAATCGATAAAGACATTTTGTAGTTCTACTTTTTTTTAAATAGCTGTATAAATTCTTACACACGAGTTTTCGACCTATTTATACGGTCATTGTCACGTGCAAAAAATCGTACAGAGTGGCTACATTGAAGTAAAAACAAAACTGAGAAGAATATATATGAAAACTTACACTACAATTGCGGCTGCCACACTCTTAACTTGGGTTACCATGATTAAGAGTTTATTAGGACGATCGTTATAAAATATTAGTAAAAGAATCGTTAGTCATTAGAGCAAGCTCTCCAATTTTTTGTACTTGACAATGACCGTATAAACAGGTCAAAAATTCGTGTGTAAGAATTTATATTTATAATAAACTCTTAATCATGGTAAGCCAAGTTAAGGGTGTGGCAGCCGCAATTGTATTCAAGTTTTTATATTTATCTTTTCTTTTCTTGTTGTTTTTCCGTGAAAAGTATGTTGAATTTTTCTGACGATAAAAGTTACTTATTCGTTAGAACGATCTGATTAACGTGTGTAAATATTGACTCAACGCTTTCATATAAACTCCGATTATTTTGTGCATATTAATAAAATAATCAAAAATGTGTGTGCGTACACTAGAGAAAATGCACTGGCTTCCAATATGAGTCATATATCTGAACTGGATCAAGTTCCATACTTTATCAAACCTGAAAGTCATAAGAGTAATAGGAGCACGAGAGTAACTTACTAAATACTCTCAAGCTTTTCCAGAACACACAGCATTGTTGTACGAGGGGCAATAGGAATGGGGACGTTGTTCCCACCTTCCACACACATATTGATGAATGTCAGCAGTTCATATTGAGATGGTGTCGAGACCAATACATTGTCGTATTGTGAGGAGACTCTATATTATGTGAAACGTCTATTCATATTATTCAGAGCTGTGTAGCCTCATTATTTTGTATCTCAATCTAATTGTGCTGTTCCATATAGATCATTTTTCCCTTGACTGAAACTAAGAGTCATAAGAAAAAATATCGGCTTTCGGGCCTGGATCTTGTGAGAAACTTCCGGACTTTTACCTATACTCTTACCATGACTGACACCGATACGAGAGAAGCGAGTCGAGTTGTCTGGCGTAACCTTTATACTTCAGTTTTACTGGTGCATCCAATGAGTTACCGCTAGAAAGTATCCATCCCTTGTAGTGTATGTGTAATACCTTCAACGTTTTCTTTTTAGATAGATAAAGAATATGAGTGACTTTCTTGATTTGCTCCACTGAATTCTGAAAAAGTGTCCCGAAACAAAGTCAACAACCAAATCTTTTAATATCGCAAATGGACAGAGGAAACTTCAAAGTGTAAAGGAAAGCGGTTTTGCAAACTACCATATTTTCTTTTAGCCCATTTGGCGGCAACCAGGGCCAATGAACCTTCGAAAAAGCTCGTCATCCCACACTTCCACATTTTGTAGGTTTAAAATCAATAACATTAAGTTGTGTAAAGTGCAAGATAACACGGACAGATTTCTATACTAACGCGGCTGTAACATCCTTAACTAACATTTTCATTAAGAGAATTCTTTTTTATCTTTTTATCCAAATTACAAAGATGAAAAAAACTAAATCCTAGGCGATCTTACAAAATTTCATCCTTTCTGTTCAGATCTCACCATTTTTCATGAAAATAGCCTGACTAACTTACTGCGCTGACTCTATAATCAAGTACATATAAGATCCAATCCAGGTTTTATGTATGGTTTACCCAAGATACATAAGCGAGATGTTCCGTTAAGAAGATACGTAACATTGAAAGAAATCATCAGGTTTCCTGTAGCTAAACTCTTACTGAACTTAAGCATTTCACAATATCAGCGTGTTCTTTATATTTGTTGAGTTTCGTCACAAACCTGACAAAATTCTAGTGAGCTCGTTTTCTAAACCATAATTGAATGTACCAATTGCTGAAAGTAGATCTCTATGCCAATGTGCCGCTAGACGAAACCATTGAGACAGTCATTAATAAAATTTATAGTTCGAGTAAGAAACCGTCTATGAAAAAACTAGATTTCAAAAAAATAATGGTTTCCGCAACGAAAAATACGCATTTTTACTTTAATGATAAACTTTATGACCAAATATATGGAGTTTCTACGGGTGTTCCTATTACACCCTTAATGGCGGAGTTATTCATGACTGATTTTGAAGTCTAAAAAGGTTAGTTTTTAGACCACTTATCAAGTCTAAAAACTAACGTTGACCAATAACACGTTGACTAATAACACACTCTCAAACGGGAAGATTGTCTTTATCAGTTAAGAAATTAGAGTCTAAAGCTGTGGAGGCGATGCTAAAAGAACGCTGTAGTCCAAAACGAAAACCTATGTTACTCTATGAGCCTAAATCCACCATAGGAAAACACTTGGTAGCTACAGGCAATGCTTTTGCGAATAGTGATTTTGAAGTTGCCCTAGGGGAAAAGCAAAATATAAATTACTTGTCAAAGAGTCACTAGTCATTCGAGCTAGGTCTCCTATATGCAAATGGGCTTCAGGCAAATTCTTGGGATAAAAAGTGGATACCACCGAAAGGATCTGATAATGTAGTGCAGTAAATGTTGTATCCCTCCTATGTCATTTATGTGAGGATATAACTTCTCTCTTTCTTTCTTTTGCTCTTTTCAATTCGAGTTTTAGACATCGTCATGCGTTGTACGTTAAGGAAAAGAAAAAAACTGTTGTACAGTATTTTTATTTTTATTCTCTTCTATGTCTTGTTTGATTTCGTCTTATGCAATATATGTCTCCTTGAAAACATACGAAGGAAAATTATATTTATATTATTTCTTTATTATTGAATGTAACACTTCTGTACAAACTACCGAAGATGGGCATATAAATAGGCCGAAATATTTAGTTTTTTATCTTTGTAATCTGGTAAAAATGAAAAAATAAAAAGGAATTCTCTTAATGATAATGTCAATTAAGGGTGTTGTGTTACAGGTTCAAAGCGTAGTGAAAAAAGCTAAGCACTGTTCATAACTGAAAACTAAACACATCAATAACAACTACTAATTCGTTCCTTATCGTCATCAAAATCGGCAGAAGAAAATTACAAGGAGGCAGGGACACAGTCAGTCAAACATACATTCACCGTTAGTCGCGGCGACTTCCGAATCATACTACTTTTTCCACAAAACAAGAAATCGCAGCGATGAGGACTTTCTCACCCTATGACGATAATCAGCGAGAAAAAGAAACTTCACATTGATATTACGACAAACATATCTGAAATATCTTTAAGAATGCGCAAATATAAACTTTTTAAGAAAGAGCTAAAGAAGTTTGGGATTTGTAATGTATATGGTCAGAATCAGAACTTACTTGATGAACTATTCTTAGCTGATATGATGCCAAAAAAGTACGAACCCCCGACCTAATCGATAAGTCAACAATGTTCCTCGCTTGTATTGTCTGGCCAGTTTATCGTTAAGCACTCCACTTTATATACCAGTCAATAGAAAATTTCACGGGTTACAAAATGATATATAGGACATTCAGACCCAATGGAGCCCTGGTGTCCTAGGTCGATACGAGCCAGAATCGGTCCCTACACAAATCAAGCTCATATTCACAAGTCTGATATAGTTTTCCTCTGTAATTAAAACTAGCAGCTCACAAAAACCATTTTCAGTCCCTCTCGAAAAAATTCCGCATTCAAACATTTCTCCACTTGAACTTTATTTAGAGTATTTTTTCCCATTTCTTCCCTTTGCACAAAGCAAACCTAAACTACTGTATATCATTCGATACAGAACTTAACGGAGTACAAAATGATAAATATATTACTGAGAACAAATGGAATCTTGGCGTCATCACAGGAGAAATACTAGCCCCGACCTCCACAAATCGATAAGGACGGCCAGCAGGAAAATGCATTTTTATTATTTTCCAGCGGATTTGACATATATATTACTGAGAGCAAATGGAGTCGATTTGTGAAGGTCGGGGCTAGTATTTCCACTGTTAGGAATTTTTTCCAGGGGTATAAAAATGTTTTTTGTGAGGTGCTGGTTTTAATCAGGGAGGGAAACTACATCAGACTTGTGAATATGAGCTAGATTGGTGAAGGGCCGATTCTGGCTCTTATCGACCTCCGTCCTTCCACAAGTGTTCATTTTGGAACAGCTTTTTCTCATAAAGTGTTGATCAAAAAACCGGTGAACGTTAATAGAGAAAGAAATTAGACGAATATATAGTAAAAGACAGGTTACACACAGTTATAGAGGATATAGTGTTAAATGAGTTCAGCTTATAATTAAAAAGAAGCTGTTTCTGTTACTTGGTTCAAGACAAGGTAGGTGTCGTGATCTGAAATCAACCGAGAAACTGGGAAAATGTAGGGCACTGTTGATTCGATATATCTTTTTGCAGATCTGCAGCTGCATGGTGAGAAAACATGACTTGTCTTCGGACTTCTAAAACCATATCCCATCAATGGAGTGTCCTGCAAAGATGAGGTGTCTTGTTTTAAAAGAATTGTCTATGTTTTGTTGAAAATAAAAGATTTAATGGAACTTTTAGATATGCTCTTATAAGCTCTTCAAATTATAGAATGTGATCCTTACTTTTGCTCTCTTCTCTGTCAACTGATCTGTCAATATCGACAACTAGTTTAGTGGGTGTCTGAGACTTTCGTGCCTAATGCGTTGGCTGATGGAGGAAATAAGGAATAATGGGAAGGTTGAATATTTAAGCCGTAAGAACGTCGTTAAGCTTTTTGGTATTGAGAGACTACAATGCTAATATCAAAGCGTTACGGACGGAACAGTTAACATTGTTCGATATTTTTATTTTTAAAAATTTTAGTAAGAAAATATGTCAAATTCAACATCAGGCGATATAGCAGGATTCTTAGCCGCAGATTTAATAATTATTATATTTTCAATTATTGCGATTGTGGTTGCGTTGTTATTTATCGCCATTGTTGTGTTTAATCGTCAAACTCATTCTGTAGCTAATCTTTTAGCATGTCATTCATCTATGGCAGAAATAATGTTTAGTCTGACAACATTAAATATAGCCATACAAATGTATCAGAAGGATATTGCTTCAATCACACCAATGTCTGATAATGATATTGCTTATCCATCCTGTTTTTTTTGGGGCTGGATGATATACGTTAGTGCTACATTACAAGATTATTCATATGCAATACAAGCCTTTTATCGTTACATGTGTGTGGTATATAAGAGCAAAAGCTTTTTACAAAGTTATCGTTTATATATTGTAGTGATAGCAATTCACTGGATGTTTGCTTTGTTGACTCAATTACCTTATTATGTATTAGAACAAATTAAATATGATAATTTTAATCATCTATGTCAAGTAGCAATAAGAAACAGTGGCCTTATCATGTACATCGACTCAGTTGTTTACATATTTCCAGTATCAGTAGTTGTTTTTGTCTATTATAAATTGGTTGTTTATGTACGAACGATTAGTAATCAGTCAAAATTAAGCAATGTTCCATCAATAGCCTTATTTCAAGCAAAACGTGAATTAAAAATGGTAAAACGTATTATTGTTCTTATTCTCATATTACTTCCATGTGGTTTTCCATATACGGTTTTTAATTTCATTGGTTTTGTAGCAGATCCGCCTAGATATCATTTTCGTGTTAGTATTACATTTATTATATTATCATCAGCTCTTGTTATGATAGCAATGTTTTTACAAACAAGAAATGTTAAAGATGTTCTATTCAATTTTATTAGATATAAAACAAATCGTATACAAACAACAACAACAACAACAACAGGTAGTCATAATAATAATCCTCATCCTATATCAATGCTTAATACAAATCAGAAATGATTTAAACTTATCGAACTGATGTTTTTGCATTTCTGTCTCGGATTCTTCAATTAAAGTCAATATTTTGTGTAAGTTTCGAAAGTCTGTGAGAATTTTTCGAGTTGAGGTAACACATTGAGAGCGATCAGAAATTATGTGGAGGCTATGTCGAAACTTCAGATGTTTAAGTTTCTCTTTGGAGTTTTCTGCTGTAAATAATTCGTGACCCAAACACAAAAAAATTGAATAGTTGTGGAAGAAAAATTTTATGGAAAATCTCTGGTTTTTTATTTATGAGCTTGAACTTTTTAATAAATAAAAACAAACCATCGTTAAATCTCAGTGCGGGTTCATGATTACAATGTTGTTTTTGAGGAATAACTTGAAATTTGTTTTTGTTGTTTTTACTATAGACATGTTGAATGTAACTAAATTTGTGATGCCAGAACCATGGCGTTTAAAAGGTTTTTAATATGTGCGAAGTGCTACTTTTTCAAAAATCACAGCGACTTTCTAAGTACTTTTATTAAATTTCAAGGATAACGATTTTATAATAAAGTTTAACACCAATATGACTAATTTCATAATTATTAAAGTAATATTCCTACCTATTTTAGGGTCATTGTCAAACTGCAGAAAACACAATAAAAAAACAAAATGCACAGATGCATAGATATAACGTATAGTAAGATATGCAGTCAGAACGAAAAGAAAAATGGTAATTTACACCATGCTTTGTTACTTTTATATATAACATTTTTCAAGAAATCATGTTTCTCAACTTTTATATTAAAAACATTTAATTTCGGTTGAAAACCGATTTATTATCTACAGTCGAGAAAATGTTTATATAACTGCGGGAACCAAACTTGACTTTAGACAAAGGATCTAATCTTTGCATATGTAGAGAATTACTTTCCAATAAGTTTGTTTAATTTTTTTAAAAAACACAAAATCGAAGTGGAAAATAATAGCATGCTGGCTCATTAAAAATCCAGATAGCAACATTATAACGAAATAATCCATTATACCTATATAGTCGACGTTGTGAATCTTAAATTCAGGCAAATTTTTAAATTTGTCCCAGGCAAAACTCCAATTGGAGTTATGACTGGGCAAAACTATAGTTATAACTAAAATTACAAAACTATAGTTTAACTAAAATTATAGTTTGAGTTTTGCCTGAATGTAATTAAACAAAATTAAATTTTGATATCATCTAAGAATATTGCTGACTCCAGTCAGGTGACAGTCTGCTATTACGTGTTTCAAAGGGAGGAGAAGAGACCGATGTCATTTGGAGCGGTGCGGACATGACGAGAAGTCATTTTCTAAAAGCCAAATACGAGGGAAAGGGATAGAACAACAAATAAACCTTTATTTTTCTTACCTGATCAACCTTTTGAGTTTTTCTCTTTTTATACGTCGACTTTTCCCGTAGCCCTATGTGATGGAATAGGTTTGTCGACTTGATTCAAACGAAAAAACACTACTCTAACCTGGGGATTTCGGGAATTATTTTTGTATTTTTTTAAATTGTATTCCAGTGAATTCGTATTTTTATATTTATATATATACAATCTATTTTAATTATATTATGTTTATGTACAATTTAATATAATTTACTCCTAATCTTCTTAATTCATATTTACACGGAACATCTTTAAACTTTGTCACTGTTCACTCCGTATTCTTACATGCTCCTAGTTTTGAATGGCACTTAGTTGAACATTTCACATTCGATTTCTTACATGAGCAACGCTTTGTTGCACAATCAGACTTACAATCGCAGGTCCCAGTACTTGCACTATGAACAAACAGTTTACTAGCTTCAATAACAGTTATGTCATTTAATTCAAAAATATCCAAGTTTTTCAATTTGACTGACAAGCTGTTTTTAAATCAACAAGACTTTCAACATCAAACTTCGTAGTCAGTATTCCAAACTGACAAGTAAGTTCAAAAACAAAATCTTCACTTTTTTTCTCTTTCATGTGAATAACACCTGGCAAAATTTTCGGATCTGTGTTAGTTCTATCCACATCATGAATTTTAATACCAACACAATCTCCTTGATTAAATTTATCAGCCAAGTTTCTTAAATGTTCATCGTAATATTTTTGTTTTTTATTTGCCGTAGTTAAGTAATTCTCTGTTGCTTGTTTACGTACTAATTCATGGCTAGGTGATGGTACAGAAAAGACCAAAGAGCTCGATGAACATGGAGCATTAGCAGCAAACAAAGTGGAAGGAATAACAACAGCTGGTGATTGAGAAGCATCAGAGTTAGATTAGCAATAACTTCAGCTCCAACACATGACTCTACAATAGAATTTAGTTCATCAAGAACATCAAAACCACGACAAAATTATCTGAAACTATTACAGAAGGTGGTGCCAACAAAACATGTGAAGCATTTTTCGAAGGTGGAGAACAAAAGAAATGAGATTATCAATCAAAATGAAGGACTAAGAACAGGAGCAGTGCAAACGGAACTGAACTGAACTGAAATTTATTTTTACACAAAGGTAGGATATCACAAAAAAGCACCAAAAGGGCTTGTGGCATCAGAAGACACCAAGGTATATGAAAGAGCGAGAAGACATGCAGTAGCAGAAGTAGTATCATCTAATTTTGGATTATCTGACTAACTTTTTCGTTTAGCAGTTATTGTAGTTACTAACTACCTTAGTTAGTAGGTGTTCTAACTACTAACTAGTTAATTTAACTACCAGTAACTACTAACTTTCATAAAAACACAAGCTGAGTGTTTTCTTATAAACTTTTCTTGCTTAATCTCAGTTACATTCGAGGCTGACTCACAGTGGGCAACTAAGCGGACATTAGGCCAAAAAGTCGATTTTATCTATCTTGAAATACAAATAGTGCAAAATGTAGCTCTTGAAATTCTCTATCGAATGGTGTATAAACGTCTATTGTGAAACTG